TGGAAAACCTTAATTTATTTGGGTATTAAATTCAATAAAGGCCTCCTACAAATCCTGAGGTGTGAAACTTGCCCCCACTGAAGACGCCAGGAACTTTGCCCATAAAATAGGAAATCGTGGCTGAAAATCAAATCTTGACAGTTTTAGAATATGGCATAGTTGAAATCTCTGGAATAAAATGGGCATGACTAATAATCATTTCTACTCCACAGAGCTAGCTCATTTTCCTTACAGAAGTTGTCAGGGAGTGAATCTGGAGGGAGGCTTTGATTATCTCTGTAAAGTGGCAAATTTAAGCAATTATCAGGATAATTTAGCCACCAAGACCTTTACTAGAAATAAACTGATATTTAGAGGTAAGAATGGGAGTGGGGAAATGTTTTTTTCTCTCTCTCTCTTTTTTGAATAATGCTTACAATTTTTTCAGTTCAAGTGAATGGATATTGTGTGTTTGTGCATGTGTGTGTGTGTGTGAGATAGAGAAAGAGAGAAGGAGAGAAGGAGAGAGGGGGGGGAGTAAGGGGGAGGGAAGGACAGGCAGTGTCTTCAAACATACAATACTGGGATAATTGAATAATTGGATGGGGGTTTTGCCCCTTGTAAGGGACTGTGTCAAATAATGGTTAAAGATTTTAAGTCAAACACTTAGATTCAAAGCTTGTGGTGTGTATTTTCTCAGGCTGTTCTCTGTACTTTGAATGATCCTAATGGGCACCTATTGTGATCTGTTTATCTTTCAAAGGGTCCTGCTTGGATCTTTTGGCACTTTATGTAATTGTATCAGCCATAATGAATCTTTCCATCTTTTAAAGTCCTAGAATAATTCATTGCCTTGTAATTACTTGTGTATATGCTTTATCTTACCTGCTTTGAGAGCAGACTCCCTGCCTTACCCATCTTCCTATTTCACATAACTTTTGGCTGAGTATAGATGCTCAATAAATGTTTGTCAATTGAATCAAATGGATGGTTGAGAAAATACTTTTGAAAAAAACTCATGAAAGTTTTTGTTATCACAGTTACAGTAGGGGCCACTTGCCTGAATTCTAAAATATATTTTAGAAATGAAGAAAATGGATGGCTTATATGCTAGAGGATTTGAGTGCAAAGTGCTGTAGGCTTTATGTCTTAGGAGCTTTATTCATTTAGTCAGTCATTATTATTAGTATTTGTTTTTATATGCTATGTGCTATTTCTAGTGTTGCGGTTATAACCTTGAAAAAGATCCAATCTGTTCTCTTAATTAGCTTATAATTAGTGGGGAATTGAGATTTTTAAAAAAGGCATTATAATATTTTGATTACATGGTGATAAATGCCACGTAATGGTAAAATATAGTGCAACGGAGGCATTATTTTAGTCTTGAGGTCAAGGGAGCCTTCTTAAAGAAGGTGATTAAGTTAAGAAGATACGAATAACATACATGAGATAAGTACTGAACAATGGCAGTATGTGTGGATGATGTCAAAGTGGGAGGCAAGAACCATAAATGTGTTGTGTTCAAAGATGTGCTGATATAGTCAGAGAGAAGGTTTGGTTTAAATTAGACGTTGCCCAATTGCTGAGAGAAAAGGGAAGAAGGCATCACAAGTAAAAGTTTCAATTAAGTGCGAAGACAAAAAGTCGCTACTTTAGGTGCTAGGGACCTAATAATGAATAAAGTCTGGTACAGCGAGGCATACATATAGCATTAGGAGGTGACCAGTCTAAATGAAGCAGAGGCTTGCACTTGGGCAGTAGCAGGAAATGTGACTGAAGAGATACAGTGGGGCCAGCTATGTTTTGACCGATGTCTTGGGAGCTATTGTATTTCAGATTTGAAGTCACCGATTTTTTTATCGAAGAAGTACATTTTCTGGCTAATGCATAGAAGGGTTGTAATAGGAGAAAGAACGTCTCTTTTAGGCATAGGGTAGTGACCCAACCCCACTGGAGAATAGGCCAATTTTTGGATTCTCTTCCCATCATCAGTGCCACTGTCCAGGCTTAACAGTTCTGAGTTGCAGATGCCTCTCAGTTGTTCACCCTGGTTCCAGCTTCTTGTCCACTCTAATCTAGTCGACACACTGCTGCCATGGCATATTCCTGAAACAACACCAAGGTTCTCACCTGACTCAGGAACTTTTAATGGATTCTTTTTCGTTAATACAATAAGTGTTTGTTAAGGGTCCTGCGTGCTCTCTCTCTCTGTCTCTGTCTCTCTGTCTCTGTCTCTCTCTCCATCCATCCATCTTTCAGTTGGTGGTAAGTTTTAAGACTCAAAATAGAGTAAGGTAACAGAAAATAACATAGGCGGTCCTTTTTTCTGGGAGAGGGGATAAGGTTTGGAGGGCTGACCTCTCCAATAAGATGAAATTTGAGCAGAGACTTGATTGGAAGGAGAGCTTTCAAGGCTAAACAAATGAATAGCAAGGGCAAAGGCCGTGAAGAAGGAGTGTGCTTGTTGTGTTCAAGGCATGAGAGGTGGCCAGAGTGGCTGGAGCACAGTGAGTAAGTGGGGGAGCAATAGAAGGTGAGCTTGAGGTGGGTGAGTGGGTGGTGCCCAACCACCTGTATCAAGTTATGCCTTGTCCCCCATCCTAAGGACTTTTAATTTGTTTGGAATGAGATGGGAAGCTGTTGGAAGGATTTGAACAAGGAAGTATCATGATCTGATTTAGATTTTAAAAGGATTGCTGGCTGCTGGCTGGAGAAAGACTCTATTGGGGCAAGGTTGAAAACAGTGAGATCAGTTGAGGAAGCAGCAGGAATGATGAAGGTGAGAGATGCTGGTGGCTTGGACAAGCGTTGTAGTGATGAGGGTGTAGAGAAGAGCTGGACCCTTGACTACAGCTCACAGCTGATATTAACAGGATTTGCTCAATGAAAAGAGAGGAGTCAAAAATGACTTTGGGTTGGGTGCAGTGGCTCATACCTGTAATCCCAGCACTTTGGGAGGCTTAGGTGGGAGAATCACTTGAGGCTAAGAGTTTGAGATCAGCCTGGGCAATATAGTAAGATCCCTCTCTCTACAGAAAAATTACAAAAATCAATCAGGCATAGTGGCATGTGCCTGTAATCCCACCTACTTGGAAGGCTGAGGCAGGAGGATTGCTTGAGCCCAGGAATTTGAGGTTACAATGATCTATGGTGATACCACTGCACGCTAGCCTGGGTGACACAGGAAGACTCTGTCTCTAAAAATATAATAATAATAATAATAATTAAAAAAAACACTTCAACCATTTTGACCTGAGCAACTGGAGAAATGAAACTACTAGTGACAGAGTAAGGGAAGACAGCTAGAGAAAGTGGTTTGGAACGAGGGGAAATCATGCTTTAGAATTTATCTTTCAGATGCCTAGTAGATATCTAGAGTAGAGGTGTTGAGTATAAACAACTGGATATATGATTCTGGAACTCAGGAAGTGCCTGAGCAGAGACACGAATTTAGGAGTTGTCACCATATCAGTAGTATTTGAAACCACAGGAGTGGATGAGATCACCAAGGGAGGAAGAGTAGGTAGAGAACAACGCTTGTGGCTCCAATGGTCATAAGTGGCAAGATGAGAGATCAGCCCAGGAGACTGAGAAGGGCTGGTCAGTGAGGGCGAAGGGGTCACTGGCTGCTGAGTGAAGAAAGGACGTCAGAGAGGAGAAAATGATCAATTGTGCTGGGTAATTGATGTTTGGATTTGGCCACTGGACGGTAGGAAGGTTGATAAGCACAGTTTTCCACGTGGTGGTAGAGTGGAGGAAGCCTGATTGGAGAGTGTTCAAGAGAGAAAGAGAAGTGAGGCAGTATAGGCAGTGTGAGTCAAGATAGTTTTGTAGTTCAGAAGAACTTTGCTGTCGTGAGAGGCTAAAATACGGAGCTATCTTAAGGGGATAATGTGGTAAAGGGAGGTTTGTTTTTAGTAAGATAGGAGATATTATGGAATGTTTGATGATGATGGGAATGATGAATGATGACCTAGGAGAGAGGGGACACTTGTTGAAGCAGTGTCATTAGTGTCTTTGAATAGGTGAGGAAGCCTGGGACCCAGTGTACAGTGGAGGGGCCAGCTCTAGATACCAGCGTGGAGAGTTCATCCACTGTAACAAAAGTATGGGCAGAGTATACAGAGATGTTTGAGGGATGTTGGTTGATGTAGTCTTGGAAGGGTTGGACATTCTTTTCCGATTTTTTCTATTTTCTCAGCAAAACAATAAGACTCTCAGAAGCTAAGGAGAATAGTGAAGATGTTGGAAGTTTGAAGAGCAAGAATAAAATACAGAATAGACATTTAGAAGAGAATGTGATGATGAAAGAAATCTTCAAGCGTTGCCATTTGTGTCATTTATCATGGTATTCCAGGCTTTTCAAAATTTCTCTCCTAGCTCTCTCAACTCATCTGTTCTCTACTGCTGCCAGTCCCCATGCATATTTCTGTTTTAGCATCATGCTGATGAGTGCACAACAGTAGAATGCTTGGGGTGGGAGCTCTGGTGTCAGACTCTTGGAATTTGAATCTTGGTTTCACACTTTGTCTTTCTTCTGGCCGTGGCACATTATTTAATCTTTCTGTCCCAGTTTCCTCAGCTGCAAATGGGGACCATAACAGTCCTTACTTCTCATGGTTATCATGAAGGCAATGCTCGTGGAGTATCTAGCACATGGTAAACACTCAGCAAATATTAGTCAGGGTTCTTTTTACTACTACCATCCTCTCCTTCCTCCATGAGGATGTATGCTTCTTGAGGGAAAGGACTACTTTACTCATCCTGGATCCTCTTGATACCTGTATACAGTAGGAGTTTAGTAACTGTCTAATAGAATAAGATTCACATTTAAACAACACTCAGTGCATTGCAATTGGCCCTCAGGTTTCTAGACAATCTGCCTATTATAATCCACATTTCTCTTTGCAGGTATTGTCAGGTGTCAGGTTGCATGTTTGAATGCTCCACTGCCCTAAAAATAAATCCATGGTGTATTTCTCAAAAGCATATTCTACACATCCAAATGTCACCTTATTTTATTGAACACATGCTAGTTAGATTGGCTCCTACTGCTCTGCAGTCTTCTCTGGGAGCCTGATTTTTATGAAGCTGGTAGGGGTCCTGGGTGCATGAAGAGATTCACAGTCATGGAAATCAGATGATTGAAGTTCTGAACAGCCTTGGTGAAAAAACAGCCATTCCTATTTCCTCTGTGTCACATTCTTGTCATCTGCTTTTCCATGCAATGGTCAAACAGATACAGAAAAAATTGATTCGGCAGGTCATTTCTATTATTATCTTAGAAAGGCCTCATAAATTGGGCATTTGCTAAGGAGAACTGCTCTAAAAACAGGACAATCTTTTAACATTCACCTGGGACAAACCACTCTGACGTACTGACAGTAGAAATCATCTAGGTCGTGCAGATCATGCCTCTGGAGCAGCATTTCATTGCAGGGAGATGGCAAGAATTGACTGTCTTATTAAGAAGCACTGCTATAATAAAATGTGATTTTTATCAGAAGAAATTACAAAGCAGGGGTCAAGAAAGGATAGAAGAGGGGCTTGATCATGGAAACACAGGCCCAGATGAATTAATTCTAATAATGTTCATAATAATTATGCACAAATATTTGAATAATAATCACACCCCCAAATTATGTTAAAATTATACTCCTTTGAATTGCATAAAACAGTTTACATAGGCATTATCAGCTGAGCCAAGGAATATGTAATGATGTGAAACCTAAGATCTCCTTAAAATGTTTCCATAAAAAATGACAAGTCGGCTTTTCTTTTACTTATATTTACTTGTCAATTTCAGAGGAATCAAATTTCATTATGTTATATAAATAAAATATCCCTAAAGCACTAGCTCCTACGGTTTCAGGAAAGCTACCCTATATTTAGAAAATTTCTGTGGCTCCCAAATACATGTATTTCCTTTAGAAAACCAATTCTCACAACCTAACCTAAGTGGATTGAGTAGTGGCTGTTTCTAATGAAACTAAGGAATTCGTGACGTCATCCTGTGTGTGGCAATCCCTCAATTAAGAGGGGAGGGGTAAAAAAAAATGCAAAACCCTGGGGCTATACCGTGCAATTTACGTATCAAAAGCTCATTATGCATGGTCACAGTTTGCAGCAAAATACAGTCCTTTAGAAAATGAGGAGGACTGCTCAGTTTTGGCAACTCGGCTCTCTCGAAGCCCCGCGGTGACAAACCGCACGGATCTACAGTCCCCTCTTTGAGCTAACGTGGAAAACCACTTGTTAGTTCCTTTCCCTCCTAAGCACTGCTCCCTGTGGCTCCACTTTGTTTTTAAACTATTTTATTTTTGGTAAAAGTGAGGCTTACCACGCTCTGAAATGCACGAAATCTCCTGCTGTCTATTCCAACAGCGGAAGCCGCTCCAACATAAAAATCGGTGCCACCACGTGTCATAACGCGGAGGAATGCTATTTTATTAACAGTTGGCACCAGAAAGGGAAATGTATTTACTTTGGAAAAAAATACCCTGATAAGAGCTCGGAGAGTGGCGGAGAGCCCCTGAGGGGTTAGGGTGTGGGCGGAATGTTTCGGAGACAAAGGGAGCAATTTGGCAGTTAACTTGCAAGTGTCAGGGGAGCCCGGGGGACGCTAGAGGGACGGCAGCCAATCAGAGCGCGGCGAGGCGGCTCGCGTCTGCTCAGCGTGACTCTTCCTCGCCCTGCTCCCGCACACATCTTTGCAGAAATGACCGAACTGGCTAAATACTTGGTGCAAGTAAAAAAAAAAAAAAAAAATTATTATTATTTTTTTAATAGAAAATTGAGTAAGGGCTGAGCTTGTGTCTAGAGCAACTGAGTAGAACAGAGTTAACATGTATGGGCCTAACTAACAGTGGAGGCAGACAGACTCTGAACATAAGCTTTTAGAAACTGTAGGGAGGCCTCTAAGGGCTCACAGATCTAGAAGGGTTTATTGAAGTCTTGAGGGGGCTAGAGAGCTGCCGATGGCATCTTGGTTAAACCAACTACTTTAAGGACATATCACTGTTGTCATGGTGGGAAGCTACTGTGGCTAGCTGAGCTGCTTTGTGGACATACCTTGGAAACAGGACTCTATAAACATAGGATGTTATAGTTGCTTTTGCTGTCTAGTCTTTGAACTGGCCAGACTTCTATATAATGTTAATTTAAGAGGCTGCTTGATAGAAAATAATGATTCTTTGGTAGAATAACAAAGAACTTTCAGATCTTAACCTTACATTTCCATACCAGTTTTCGGAAATTAAATTCAAAATCCTTGAGAATGAGGGATAAATTCAGAACCAAGATGGTATCTAATGTTTCCCAGATGATTCTTCATTAGCCAAGGTTGCTAAGGTGTAAATGAAGATGGACCAAACTGTTGAACCCTTTGCACACCATCATCATATCTGTTCTAGGATCAAATCTAGAGGATCACAGTTGAAGGCAATGGAAAAATGGTAGACATATATTTGACTATGGTTCACAGTGTGTCTCTGGAGTTTGAGGGTATAAAAATAATAATGGCATATGATCTAAAAAAATGACTCAATGTGTATGAAGTATTTCCTTCAACTGGAATTCTCTGACCCAAAGTTTTAGAGTGCATCTCCCTCCCCACCCCCCCACCAGATATCTTCCCTGATCACTCCTTATAGAGTCCCCCCCCACACACACACACATTGCCCTTTGGATTTTCTTCACAATGTTTATTTATCATCTGCAGTGATCCTGTTCATTTATTTTTTACTTGTTTGTGGTCTGCCTGCCAACCATTGTAGTATGAGGACCATGAAAACAGGAACCTGGTGTGCCACTGTTTCTCAAGCTATAGAATAATACCTGGCCCATAATCAGAGCTCAATAAATATTTGTTGAATCACTTAATTAATTTCACTGAGTATCTAATCTGTAGAGATAATCAAAATCCTCATAGGCCACTACAAATATAGTATGGTTACTTTTATAAAGGAAAGATGTACTGAGGGATTCTATGGCTGGTATTTTGATCTAATTCCCTTTTATTATCAGCCTAATCTTGGATCATGTAAATGATGATCACATTATACCCGTCAGAATCCTTGGCAAGTAAAAATTGACTATTATAGTCTCTCTGTGCTCGAAGTAAGTCTAGAGATTCAATTAAATGATATAAAAATGAGTTCCGTTTTGATATGGAGAAATGTTTTGATATTGAATTTAGTTTCAGGTTAATAGTATTATTAGATTACATTCTAGAAACATTATAAGGATGAGTTCACATTTTTTTTTTTTTTAGAGATGGAATCTCCTTTGTGTTGTCCAGGCTGGAGTGCAGTGGCTATTCACAGGTGCAATCATGGTACACTACAGCCTTGAACTCCTAGGCTCAAGCACTCCTCCCACCTCAGCCTCCTGAGTTGCTGTGATAACAGGTACTCACCACTGAGCCTATAGACAATAACAATACTGTAGTATTTACTTGGTAGGGTTGTCGTGAGATGGGGTGGTGAAAGCTATATATAATAGCAATAACCAAGACCCTGACGTGGTGGCTCATGCCTATAATCCCAGCACTTTGGGAGGCCATGGTGGGAGGATGGCTTGAGGCCAGGAATTTGAGACCAACCTGGGCAATACAGAAAGACCCCAACTCTAGAAAAAAAAAAAAATTATCCAGGCATGGTGATATGCCTGTAGTCCAAGCTACTTAGGAGGCCAAGGCAGGAGGATCAATTGAGCCCAGGAGTTCGAGGCTGCAGTGAGCTATGATCTAGCCATTGCACTCCAGCCTGGGTGACAGAGTGAGATCCTGTCTCTAAAAAAAAATAAAATAGAATATAAGTAAATAAAAAAATATTTAGCAAGATTTAATATTACTTTTGATTTAAAATTCATTTGATATCATAATTACAAATGGAGAATATATGAATAAATGTATTCAAAATGAGAACAAATGGCAAATGTTTTTTAACACTATATTATGGATAATTAAGAGAAGTTATTTCAGTGTTAATATAAATGCATTATTTTGGGAGAGTGGAACTTCTTTTCTACTTCATACCTTACTGCTTTGATTTTTATTTTTTTGGATGATATTATTTGTCTGTGATATGTTGTCATGGGGCTTTGTTTTATAATGTACTTGTACTCGTTAGACATAAAAATTATTAATTTGTCATATGTCTATTATTTTCTTCATCCTTATGTGAGGAAAAACAACAAAAGCACTGCCTAATTAAACTGAGTGCATACAAGGAAGTTCCAGAAATTTTTAGAAATTTCCTTTCTGGAATTGGTGAGTGCATATTTATTACTGGTGGAATAAAGAAAGAAGTGTTTTCAGATGTTTACCTAATCACAAATTGTTTTGTTTTTTTTCCTCCAAAAAAGCATAATAAGTACATCCATTATTATTTCTACATAACAAATTCTTGCAAAATTTAGTGGCTTAAAATAATAACCATCATTTGTTATTAGCATAATAATAAACATAATCACATGATTATAAGTAAATAAACATTATTTATTATTTCTGTGAGGAATTAGGGAGCACCTTAGCTGCATGGTTCTGGCTGGAGATCTCTCTTGAGGTTGTAGTCAAGGTGCTGACCAGGGCTGCTGTCATCTGAAAGCTTGACAGTGGCTGGAATATCTACTTCCAAGATGGGGCACTCATATGGCTGGCAAACAGGTGCTGGCTGCTGACAAGAGGCCTTGGTTCCTCACTGTGTGAACCTCTTCACAGAGCCACTTGACTGTCTTTACAACATGGCGGTTGACTTTCCTCAGAGCAAGTGACTAAGTAAGCAATATGGAAGTTACAATGTTTTCTTTTTTTTTTTTTTATGATTTCACCTCAGAAGTCATATATCATCACTTCTATTATGTTCTACTAGTCATACAAACCAATCGTTTTACAAAGTCAGAAGGAACTTACCTGAGGGCATAAATACCAGGAGGTAAGAATCACTGGGGTCATCTTGGAAGCTGATTAACACAGTGAGAAAGATTAGGATTATCTTAACAATCTACCACTGTTATGAATTTTGAATTGATTACCCATGTTCACTAAGAAAGTGCTTTGCAAACTATGGGGTGGTCATGGTGGAAGACTGGAAATAGCATTTCACAAAAAGACCTGATAAGTGTATGAATAACATTCCCTCCTCCCCAAATATTATGAACAATGTATATCATCACATTGGATAAAGCAAATAAGTAGATACTGTTAAATCTGTTTCATAAGATTATAAATATCTTCTGCTTTTGGTGGGAGGTGAGATCAGATAATTGAAAAGAAAATGTATAAAAGGTAACGATTGAAAAAGAAAACAGTAGGGACCAGAGAAAGAAGAAAGTAGTAGAAAAAGAGATGAGAAAGGAAAGGAGATAAAAGGGACAAGAGAAGACAAATGGGAAGGATAATAGCAGAAGATACAGAAGATAAAAATATGCAAATTATAGGCAAAAGAATTATAGAAAAAGAGATGATCTGAACAAAGGAGAGAAGGAGAAGGAGAAAAGATCATGAGAAGGGGAGATAAAAGTAAAAAAAGAAGAGAAAAACATTAACTTTTTCATTCCCTTCCTCTACCAGTTTTTGGATCTTTTTCTACCTCAGTATAGGCTTGTGGCCTCTTTCTCAGTTTTTTTTTTTTTTTTTTTTTTTACTGTGTTTTCATAACTTCTTTGGGAACTCCCTTGAATTCCTGGTTCTCAGAATTGTGGTTTCCAGTTTGTGGCTCAGACTGAGTTGGATAAGAGTTTCTGGAGAGGAGAGTGGTATAGCTATTTTATTTATTATCCAACTTGTTCTTCTTAAGTACACACTATCTTGTTAGATAATATTTTTCTAAAAGTATTGAAAAAATGTAATTGCTCAGAAAAAAAAAGAAACAGACCCAAGCAAATGATTTTCTGAGAGAATTTTGGTTCTGTAAAAAATTATTACCATATTTGGATTGATTCCCTTTGTATTTCTGCAGATGAGTATAGTTCATTTTGGGTTTTTTTTTTGATTCAAGGTTCACTTCAGTTCAGGTTCCTGCTTCAAGTTATGTTTCTGTGGTTGAAAAAAAATTCTGGCTGAAAAAGTACCCGGCTACTAGTTCCTTAGCTGATATTTCTTCTTATTTTTTACATGAGAACATTAAATCATCTGTTCTTCAATAATATTTGATTTATAGATTTTAGGAAAATTTGGATAAGAAACTTTCATACAGTAAAACATTAAATTAGTAAGATCATATCTTTTAAATGTATTTTTAGTGTATTTTCTGATGTACGAGTTAACGCAACAAAGGTAAATTTAATCAAAGCAGCTCATATAATATGCAACCTTCTCTTTAGAACATCTCCTGCCCCCTCTCCCCAATTTGGCTTATTTTAAAAAATGGCCTTTACATTAAAAAATTCAAATAAGTAATACACTTACAAAGTTCAAAACTCTTCTTGCTTGGGATTCACTGGGCTTCAATTTGTGATTGATATCCTTCATCATTTGGGAAAACTCAGCTATTATCTCTTCAAATATTGCCTCATTCTCACTCTTTTTCCTTCTGGAATTCTACTTAGAGGCACATTACTTTCTTAATTTTTCCTTCA